ATGTAAATCTCAACCGGTCAATCGTCCTGTCATTAGTGTAGCCCGAATTATAAAAATAATATAATTATGAATTATTAGTTTTTCATTTTGTAAAGTAATTCAATGTTCTGTGGTATATTTTAGTAGTTTTATTGTATTTTGTGTAGTTCTGTGGTATATTTTGGGTGTTCTGTGGTATTCTGTGGTGTTCTGTGGTATTCTGTGGTGTTCTGTGGTAAAAAGACGCTCCGTCTATTCACTACATGCAATCTGTAACTGTTTTATATGTTCTAATTATGGTACATGTACATTGAACTATCATGACTATACGATTGTGTTAATATGTTGTATGTTTGCTTTTTTTCTTTTATTATTATTTTTACATGTATTGTATATGAGGGCCTCAGGGAAGATTAGTAATTGTAACTAACTGTGTTTACCCTCTTTAAATAAAGAATTTATTATTATTATTATTATTATTATTTTATAACCAATGCATATAATAATTTTATTTTTTAATAGACGTATTTACACTTGTATGCAAATTTGTCCGCCATTACGTAAAATCACACAGGTTCCCGTAAACTTTGACATCATAATTCAAAACATTTGACGTCACAATTAAAAAGTGATCGCTGCCTGACGTCAAAAGGTGATTCAGAGTAGATCTAAGGTCATTCGGAGGCAAAATATAGCTAAATACCAAAAGTGTAAATACGTTTATTTATATGGTTGATGGCTCCTATTCTGACCGATGCTAATATACTTAATTCTCGTCTCATGGGTTTTTGTGCTTTTAAGAATGCATTGTGACGTCACAATTTCCATTGAACAATGTTGAAAAAGCATGCATATGAATTCATATGACGTACGAAAAAATATGATCTGACCATACATGACATGCATGATAGATACTAAATATACATGTACACTGTGATGTTTTTTGTTGTAATTAACAATTATGTCAATCAATTGAAATTGATTTGTATGCCCTTTATGGGCCCTGTAATTTGGGAAATAAAAAATATTCTATAGTCCACTTCTTAATTTTAAATGATAGAAACAAGTGCCTGTGGGCAAAATGGTGGGTAGTACCCTTTAAATTTGCACCTTCTCCATAACATTGTTGGTATGAGCCTGCGTTATTGTAGCTATAAATTACACAAACTCTATCAAGACAAAGTTTAATGCATGAAGGTTCATGCATGAATAGTAAACGTTTCAAAATATATGAAAAAAATAGAGGTGGAAAAATTAGTCGGTCTTAGGTTAGATTTTTCATGTGCAGCATTTTCATAGTTCGTGAAAAATAAAAATTTGATATTAAATGGTATCTCAAGCCTTTGAACGTTTGGTTTTATCAATGAACTTGTTATACCGTTGGTAGCATCGTTTTGTAACCCTAAAACAGAAAGATATTTCTTTCGACCATCTGCAAGATTTAGCGCCATTCTTCATATTTTTTAGTAGGAAACTGGTTCCTTGTTTGATTTTTTCACTAGTTCGGCTGGCTCTCACTCAAAAAAAGACGGATTCCTTGTCTGTAGCAGATTTTCTGGTTAGGAAACAGAAGATTGTTGTTACGAAACCGAACAACAAGTGAAGTCCAAGATAGAGGATGAAATTCGCATTTACATGGAATCTGGTGTAATGTATAGAATACCTGCTTAGGTAGCAATAAACAGTTAGGAAAAAATATTAAAATTTTCCCATAAATTTTACCATCCCCTTTTCATTGCCTTCTTGCAATATTAAGCTTACTGTTTGTGTCATATATGTGCATATGTATGTAATCAGAATCTTCCATAGATTTCATATCCAGTATATAAAATGGTAAAATATAATTTCTTTTTGGTGTATCCATGGCAACAATCTGCATTTTTTTGTTATAAAATATAGCAAAAAGGGGGGAAAAGATGTCACATATTTCCCCAAAATTTGGCCAAAAGTAGAATTTCAATCACTTTAAGTAATACCTTTTCTGAAACTGTTTACATATATCTTTCAAAAAATCCAATGAAAATCATATGTCTTTCGTCTCATTTTTTTGTAAAATTGCGTCAAAAACTTCGTGTAGAAAAAAAGTGTTTGTAAACATTACATTAATTTCTGGACCGATGACCGGTCTAGCTATGAAAATACGGAGAGTCAAACAGAAAATAGCCCATGAAACATGTAAAAAATAATCTTGATGTTCTTATAAACCACCTTTGAAGGCTAAATAAGTACTCAGCTGTCTAAAAATGAATTTTATTACACAATAACTTTCATATTTGAAAAATCCACCGGGGCCAAAATGCGAAACCAAACTCCTAACTGTGTATTGCTACCTTAATAGTAAATTTTTTTTTCAAATTCTCCCTTTTAACTTATTTTCTGTGTTCTGCTAGCTAAAACGAGTAACATGACCTTTTATTTTTGAAAATTGGTTGAGTAATGAATATTTTATGAAGGTTAGCAGTTGACACTGAAACGCGACAAAAACTGATTTAAAGAAAGGTGCCAAGTCAAAGTGTAAAATCTTGTTTGTACCTCAATTTTTTGCCAAAATCTTAAAAACTGTACCTCTTTTGTCAGTTTTTTAATGTTGAAAATCTTTATAAGACCTCTGATGATGCAAAATTGTACAAAAATTTAACAATTTCAAGCATGAAAATGTTAATCTTTATGTTTAATGTATACCAAAGACTTGATTAAAAAACTTGGTAATGGGGAATCAATTTCTTACAGCTGAATCAACTATACATTTAATATATGTCAAAATGAAACATGAAATCTTGATAAAAATAATAATTTGATATATTCGCAAGAAAAAATACAAAACATTCAATACTTAGGCTACTACATACTGCGCAATCCTTCAGAAGGAAGGGTTAAGCAAATAGAGTACAATTATAAGCCTTGTGTCAAAATGTCTAATTTTGGTTGCTAAGGACTGTAAACAATAAAATTGACATGTATTGTCATTCTTAAACACTTAATCCCCTCAGAAGTTGATTGAGAATCTAAATATCAATAGATTTGTGGTATGAAAAGTCTTAAATTATACAATTCTGAGCTTGGTAAGTATGCCATAAGGTAGCAATAAACAGTTAGGAAAAAATATTAAAATTTTCCCTCATAAATTTTACCATCCCCTTTTCATTGCCTTCTTGCAATATTAAGCTTACTGTTTGTGTCATATATGTGCATATGTATGTAATCAGAATCTTCCATAGATTTCATATCCAGTATATAAAATGGTAAAATATAATTTCTTTTTGGTGTATCCATGGCAACAATCTGCATTTTTTTGTTATAAAATATAGCAAAAAGGGGGGAAAAGATGTCACATATTTCCCCAAAATTTGGCCAAAAGTAGAATTTCAATCACTTTAAGTAATACCTTTTCTGAAACTGTTTACATATATCTTTCAAAAAATCCAATGAAAATCATATGTCTTTCGTCTCATTTTTTTGTAAAATTGCGTCAAAAACTTCGTGTAGAAAAAAAGTGTTTGTAAACATTACATTAATTTCTGGACCGATGACCGGTCTAGCTATGAAAATACGGAGAGTCAAACAGAAAATAGCCCATAAAACATGTAAAAAATAATCTTGATGTTCTTATAAACCACCTTTGAAGGCTAAATAAGTACTCAGCTGTCTAAAAATGAATTTTATTACACAATAACTTTCATATTTGAAAAATCCACCGGGGCCAAAATGCGAAACCAAACTCCTAACTGTGTATTGCTACCTTATGTGAAGCGGTTGGTAAACGGATCTCCTGTAGTTGGTGATCGCAATACTGGTATACTAGTATTGTCCACAATACTGGTATAAAAATATTGTACCAGTATTGTATTCCAGTATTGTACCAGTATTGTGTTTTTTAAAAATAAACAATACATATAGGTAATTAATCTTTTATTAAAGGTGTCACATATATATGCATAATGATATTAACATATGATATGACAATTTTATATGGAATGATTGTATGTTTAACTGATGATGCCATTGATGGTACACTGTGATTGTAATCAAAGAAAGTTTTAAATCTTCTGCTGTTTTTTTTCTTAAGGGAACCGTACTGTCTCAGCATTTTAACAAACTCTTTACTTTCTTCTATGTTTTCTTCCAGCTCTCTCTTTCCAAGACTCAATAGTATATTTTAGTGAATTTTGTTTCATCAGCATTGGTATTATTTATTTCTTCTTCAGATGGCATTTCTGCAACCCCCACTTCCTAAATTGATATTTAGGTATTCAGTCTGTGGACTTTCTCTTACGCTTACTAGATTACAAGCTTGTTTAGATAGCACCTGTACGGCTCTCTTACTGTAGAAGTGCTTGTCTAGTATTAGTATTTGAGTATTTGTACCAGTAGATATATCTGCTACATTGTATTGCCCATGGTTCTGAATCAACTGCTTTAACTACCCTTAACATTCATGTAGACAAACTAGTTAATTTGATTATAATCAGGTTCCCCTATAAAGCAACTTTTTATGTTTAATGGATATTGATATCTTTTACCATATTTATTGTGAAAGATTAATAAGAAAATAAAGACAAACAAATGAATCTTAGTATACATGTATTAAAATATCTGTAAAAAATATACGATGGCATACATGTAAATGCTGAATTTACAGTGTTATAGTGTAATAATTTGCTTGAATTTATTAAATGATAACTCAGATAATAAAGCTTTTATTTTATTTTATCTAAATTGAATTAAATAAAATATAGAAATATGATAAAATTATTAGCAATTATTTATATAATTAACAATTGTTTTAAAAAGATGAGTTAATTACAATAATCTTTTGTTTATTTGTACAAGTTTAGTAATTATTTTTAACTGGTTGTTAATTGATTTCACAATTATCCTCTAAAATCTTTTGAGTTCATTTAATCTCCTTTTGATCTTCAGTATCTAATTTTACTTAAAATTCATTTTTCATTATACACCTTAAAGTAAAGTGAACAATACATCTACAATACTGGTATATCAGTAATGTACCAGTATTGCTGTTTTTATACGACCGCAAAAATTAAAAAATTTTTGGTCGTATATTGGTATGACGTTGGCGTCGTCGTCGTCGTCTCCGGCGTCGTCCGAAGACACATTGGTTTTCGCACTCTAACTTTAGTTTAAGTTAATGGATCTCCATGAAATTTTACCATAAGGTTCAATACCACGAAAGGAAGGTTGGGATTGATTTTGGGGGTTATGGTACCAACAGTTAAGGTATTAGGGGCCAAAAAGGGGCCAAAAATAAGCATTTTTGTAACTTCCAGACAATAACTTGTGTGTAAGTGTATGAATCTCTCTGACATTGTACCACAAGGTTCCATATCACATAGGGAAGGCTGTAATTGATTTTGGGGGTAATTGCCTCAAAATTTAAGAAATTAGGGGCCAAAAAAGGGGCAAAAAACAAGCATTTTTCTAGTTTCATGACAATTACTTGTGTGTAAGTGTTTGGATATTTCTTAAATTGTACTACAAGGTTCCATATCACAAAGGGAAAGCTGGAATTGAGTTTGGGGGTAATTGCCCGAAACGTTTAGGAATTGGGGGCCAAAAAGGGGCCAAAAATAAGCATTTTTCTAGTTTCCAGACAATAACTTGTGTTCAAGTGTATGGATCTCTCTGAAATTGTACTGCAAGATACCATACCACAAAGGGAAGGCTGGGATTGAGTTTGGGGGTGATGAATCATAAGGGGGTTCAAAAAATTTGGGGGGGGGGGGTATTCTTTTTTTTTCTTTTTTTCCTTTTTTTTTTCTTTTAAAATTTTCCATTTTAAGTTGGTTATTTCTGATTTATATTTAAAAGCAAATAATAATGATATGGTAGGAAATACACACCAAACAGGATGTGTAAATTATTATACAATAAGTATTGTGCAATAGCAAGAAATTTTCAATTGCACAGTATTGCACAATAGCAAGAAATCTTCAATTGCACAGTATTGCGCAATAGCAAGAAATCTTCAATTGCACAGTATTGCGCAATAGCAAGAAATATCCAATAGCACAATATTGCGCAATAGCAAGAAATTGTCAATTGTACAGTATTGCGCAATAGCAAGAAATATTCAATTGCACAGTATTGTGCAAAAGAATATACTTTGTATAAATTGCTTATTTCTTGATCAATTTCAATGGGGTTTTATTCTTGAATTCTTGGGGTTCTTTAATATGCTGAATCTAACCATGTATTAAGTTTTTGGATTTTGGGCCCTGTTTTTAAATTGGTCCACATTGAGGTCCAAAGGGTCCAAAATTTAACTTTGTTTGATTTCATCAAAAATTGAATTATTGGGGTTCTGTGATATGCCGAATCTAACCGTGTATTTAGATTCTTAATTTTTGGTTCCGTTTTCAAATTGGTCTACATAAAGGTCCAAAGGGTCCAAAATTAAACTTAGTTTGATTTCAACAAAAATTGAATATATGGGGTTCTTTGATATGCTGAATCTAACCATGTATTTAGATTTTTGATTATGGGCCCAGTTTTCAAGTTGGTCCAAATAGGGGTCCAAAATTAAACTTTATTTGATTTCAACAAAAATTGAATATATGGGGTTCTTTGATATGCTGAATCTAACCATGTATTTAGATTTTTGATTATGGGCCCAGTTTTCAAGTTGGTCCAAATCTGGGTCCAAAATTTAACTTTGTTTGATTTCAACAAAAATTGAATATATGGGGTTCTTTCATATGCTGAATATAACCGTGTATTAAGTTTTTGGATTTTGGGCGCCGTTTTTAAATTGGTCCACATTGAGGTCCAAAGGGTCCAAAATTTAACTTTGTTTGATTTCATCAAAAATTGAATTATTGGGGTTCTTTGATATGCCGAATCTAACCGTGTATTTAGATTCTTAATTTTTGGTTCCGTTTTCAAATTGGTCTACATAAAGGTCCAAAGGGTCCAAAATTAAACTTAGTTTGATTTTAACAAAAATTGAATTTTTAGGGTTCTTTGATATGCTGAATCTAAACATGTGTTTAGATTTTTGATTATGGGCCCAGTTTTCAAGTTGGTCCAAATCGGGGTCCAAAATTAAACTTTGTTTGATTTCAACAAAAATTGAATATATGGGGTTCTTTGATATGCTGAATCTAACCATGTATTTAGATTTTTGATTTTTGGGCCCCGTTATCAACTTTGTCCACATTGAGATCAAAAGGGTCCAAAATTAAACTTTGTTTGATTTCATCAAAAATTGAATTCTTGGGGTTCTTTGATATGCTGAATCTAACCATGTATTTAGATTTTGGATATTGGACCATAATAGTGAATGTCCAATTTAAAATTTTTAAGTTCTTAGACCACATTCATTCTGTGTCAGAAACCTATGCTGTGTCAAATATTTAATCACAATCCAAATTCAGAGCTGTATCAAGCTTGAATGTTGTGTCCATACTTGCCCCAACTGTTCAGGGTTCGACCTCTGCGGTCGTATCAAGCTGCGCCCTGCGGAGCATTTTATTTTTTAAAAGTTACAATACTGGTACAAAATTTTTATACCAGTATTGTGGACAATACTAGTATACCAGTATTGCGATCACCAACTACAGGAGATCCAAATCCTGGTAAACTTATATTTTTGTATGAAGCTCTTAAAATATTGACTGTCTGTCATTTGTCATGATTTGACATAAACAGATAAAGAACTGATAAAGATTTTTCGACTGATCTACTGACAATAGCGATAGACAAATGTAAATATATAGCAGGTCCTTATATTTCCCCCTGTAAAGGATTTTAATAGTATGTTAGATAGATTTCTTTAACAACGCAGTTGTTTATAAGTTAAACAGTCAAGGGACTTACTTAAATGAGTGATTTTCTAAATCACTGATTCAAGTAACATTATGTCCATAAAGGTTGGAAGTAAGAGTTGTCTTTCTTTAATAATCACCTATTTAAGTAGTACAAATTAATCACTAGACTAAGTGATTTAATTTTATTGTAGCTTTAAATATAGAATACTAATGATCCAGGGACTAAATATGTTGCTAAAATTATCAGAACCAACATCTGTGTTGATAGGATGACCAGGTCATGTCAGGTGATGACCTTGTACTAAATCTAGGATAATGAACAGATATATCATGTTAAGGAGGGGTATTTGCGAAAAATACCAGTCGAGAGAATGTTAAATTTCGCGAGCCGTAAGGCGAGGGAAATTCATTCTCAAGACTGGTATTTTTCGCAAATACCCTTAAGAACATGCTATATCTGTTTAATTACACCGAATGTTATTGTACAAAACGCATTGATGATCGTGACATTAAACGCATTGATGATCGTGACATTACAAGCGTCCAGTCGGATAGAGTATTTTTTGGCAAATACCACGGCAGAGAGGGTAAAAAAGGCATATCCTTTTTGCATATACCCCGGCGCTCTTTAAAAATGAACGATATTCATTTGATAAAAGTAAATTGGTGAAAAATACACTGGCTATCAACCAATCAAAACCCAGGATTCTTACATAAGGTGTAATTATGACATAAAAATCACTTGTTTAAGTATCATACCTCAATTTCCTTCCAAAAGATCACTTCTTTAAGTATCATTATTTTAATAACCCCCACTAATTTCAACACCCCCGAACAGTGAAATTTTGATCGCGAACAGTAGAATTTTATTACATAATCTATAAGATGAAACCTTGAATTTAACAGGAAAAATACTCCCATTGCTGGGAAAAATCTGTTAAGAAAGTATCAGTTCATTATGTAAAGCCATTTTTATAGCATTTTTTCAACTAAAATAGAATTTGCAGCTAAATTATTGCATCAAAGGCATAAACCTTGCTGCTTAAAAAGAAGCAAAAAGTTCATTGTTTTCAATTTTAATAATTAATGAAAAGATATTATCTAAACCTATGTGTTTAAAATTTTGGTAAAACTACAAAATCACAATTTGTGACAAAACTTCGAATTTGCTACTTAAATAAGTGATTTAAAAATCACTTATTTCAATGAGTCCCCTGACTGTTAAAGAAATCTATCTATTGGTCATTGACCAATATACATTTCTGTGCATTTTTCCAGCAGGTTGACTGCTAGTGAATATGGTTGAACTGAAAGATTCCAAAGATTAGTTTGAAACACTTGAATTATTTAGTTTTAAATGAAAATTGTAATTTTGACATTGAGAACATTATATATGTTTTAATTATTATAAAAAGAGTTGGTTTTGTTTTTACAACCTGTCCCCCTTTTTACAAAATTAAAAGCCATATTCACTAGCAGTCAACAGGAGCTGCAAAGTTGGGAAATCCCCTTCCGTATAAAACTGTAACCGAGTTGCTATTTATAAAATCGTATGCTCCCCCAAGAAAATTTTGACATTTTAGACTCAAAACCTTGCATTCTGAGCATACCTGGAGGTGATTTAGATGCTTGGGAAAATATAAATTTTGTCTTATTTTTGTTGTTGACTTCAATCAAATTTAATAAAAAAAATCATTTACAAAATGGGAATCTTCATGCCCTGAGTACCTGTTTTTTTTTACATATCTTTTTAAGACAACTAAAGAATTCTGTCCTTGAATAATGTAGATGATAGAATAATATTTAATTTTATTTCTATAATAATCGAATTTATTAAATATCTTGGTCGATTTATTTTGCGTAACTACGTACTTTGTAAACAAATGACCCCCCTTTTTTCTCAAAAGACTTGTACACGTATTTCAGAAGCATTGTCAAAAAATTGATATCTCCTCTGATTTTCTTTTTTTTGTAAACTGTTCAGTAAGTAGGAAACTAAAATCATTTGAACTAATGTTATTTTATTTGTGGTGACTGGTCGACAATATTCTACTTTCGTTTTTGACCTTCATTCTCTGGACACCACGTGGGCTTTGAAAAGGGAACTACAAAAGGTACTGTTTTCCAGATTCTTAACAACATTATATATTATACTTTCTTTTATTTGACTGATATTATTTCATAACATGCTAATGTCATCTTCTTTGACTTTCTTCGTTTTCTTGAAGCCAAAACCGAAAAGGGTATATTGATCGCTTCATATTGTTAATGACCATCGGAATGTCTCTCTTGTTATCTTTGCAAACATACGATACTTTCCGAATTTGAATAGACTACCAATCAGTGACCTGAATTTACGTGAACTATTTTAGTCAAAGGTAAACACTGATTTACATCCTTGTTTATCGCGA